GATAAGAAAATGGTCAATTCATTTTCAACTATGAAAAGCATAAAGGAATCAGAAACACTAAGCCTGCCATTTAATTATTCCTGAGATAGAAAAAGCAAAAAGGGGAAAAGAAACAAAGCAGAAAGGAGAAAGAAGGGGACAGAAGAATCAGTCAGATATCTGGGGATCTGACCTTCATGCCACTGAAAACAATCGTTCCTTTGACTTCAACCGGGTCCCACGGAGAACATGGAGTTAAGCAGAGGATTATTTGCAGAGAAGAAGAGTAGTTAATGGGCCAAATACAGAGGAAGGAGGAGAAAGAGCTAGAAAAGAAGGGGGAAGCAAGCAAGTATGAAAAGAGATGCAGCTGAAGTGCTTGATATGAAAGAAAGTCCCTCCAGAACTAAACAGAAAAAATAGCAATATTTTTTGTGGCCTCCCCAGCCAACGCATTTTGGGGACTGGACTCAGACAGATTCAGCCGCCTGTTCTGTTCTTGTGTTTTTCTCATCTCCCTGCGTGCAGCACTAAAGGCTGCACAGCAGCCATAAATGCTTCCTGGGGAATTCTGCTGAGAATGGCGCAGCATGGTAGGGAAGACTGTCTATCAAAATTGTACCTTTATCGCCCACAGTTCTTAACATGGATTATAAAAGCTCTGGGCACACCATAAAGAAAGATTGATACATTCTCTGCTCTGTGGTTTGAATGACTGTACGGTTCAAGGTAACCTGTGGAGAGTTTGATGTCAAACTGCAGAAAGCCTTTTTTATCAAACCCCCTTCCTAGAGGAGGTGGCTTCCTGGAGTGATATCTTTCTGGGGAAACAAAAGACAGCCATCCACCGTGACCTTTGGGATTCTTGCTCAGTTCCTCATTATGGGAGAAGGTTTTTGCACACGGATGACGCTTATGGAAATGATCTGTTTCCCTGGAAATGATCGCAAGCAAATGGCTAACAGTTAAATGCAGCCTCTCATCTTTTATTATCAAGGCTCTTACTGATGCACCCTCTTCTTCAGCTTTCCTGCAAGGGTAACATTTTCAGAGGTAGCCCTACCTATCTGTAGCCCTCAAAGTAGGAAAACTTATAGAGACCCAGGCAAATGACAGTGTTGGTAGAGAAGGGGAAAAGTACAACTTGACACTTGGGTAGGAGAATGGGGTGCTGCTTAGGTAGTCTAGGAGGGGAAGAATAACAGGTAGCTGAGACAGTGGGATGGAAAGGAGATCTTTATAGGGAAGCTTAACAGGGATAGGACCACAGCATGAAAACAAAGTAGTTTGCTGGGAAGCAAGTCTCTTTGAGAGCCCTTCCAAATGAATGCATGCGGTAGAGTTTAACATTAAAACAAAAATTGCCCAGAGCCAACAATACATAGCAGGAGAAGCGATTTCTGCCTTCTGCAGAATATCAACTTGTTTGCTAGAAAAGGGAAGCAGGTCTCTTTTTTACAACTGCTCCGACTTGTTTTCCCAGACTCAATTACACAAATTAAAAAAAATTAACTAGATAAAATTAATTCTAACAAGGTGATGAACCCAGGTAAAATTTTGGGCTGAACATTTAGGCTTTGTATTTCATGGCATCAGACTCTAGCACTGACTCTGGATATTGCAACTAGACCGTTCAGAAGACTTCCAGCTACATTTTTTTTTATGTGGATGAGCCAGTATAAATCGAAATATTTATGCCACAAAAAGGATGCCACTGTGGGAATAATATATACTTAGACCCATTCAGGTTTTGGGGCCCTTACTCAACATTTTTAAAACACGAGGAATGATTTCTAAAGGTGCAGTTTTGTACATCTCCAATTTGTAAAATTCAAGAAATACTTTAAACACTTGCTTAATTGCTGTGCTCCATTTCTATTAACTAAAAAAGTGATACTAAGTTAAGGGCCTGATTTACAACCCCAGCGAAGTCAAGCAACAGAAAAAAATTGCAACCAAGACAGCATTTTGTTGGTAGAAATCAAATCTCCCGTTTTGAGTTTGCGCCTCAATCCTCCAAGAAAATCCCGCAAACACAAATAATCCACAGCTCCGACTCTGCTTATAACCGCAACTGCTTGGTCTTCTCAGCACCGGTATCATGGCATCACATCAAAAACTATATTATGATGCTGCCATCTCATGGACAGTTTCATCCAAAATCTTCCTCTCATTTGAGCGTCGTGAATCTGTTATTCTGTCAAACTATTCTTTGTACCGATCTTGCAATGGTGAAGCAGACACCGACCATCCCCTGAAGTGGTTGACAGCTGCAAAGCAAGGTCTAAAGGGGAAGAGCTGCGACGTCCCCCTAAGAATAGGTATCAGAGGACGTGGGCAGAGGGAGCCACAATTTTGCATTACCAATTCTTTGTTAAATGCTGGCCAAGCAGAGAGACTCCTATGGACAGGGGCCCTCTTACGCTCCAGAAGCCAAGAGTGATACAAGGAGACAGTAAAGTGGAATATGTGTGTGTGTGTGTGTATGTATATATATATATATACACACACACACACACACACACACACACACACACACACATTTATTTATTTATTTATTTTATTCAAGGGAACAATATTTTAGGAATAAAGATAAGAAATGCCACCCTTCCCTGCCAACTCCCCTCAACATCAACTCATCCCACCTTCTCCCTCCCCTACTCATGCCTCCCAGGCTCAGTCTCTTCTATGCCATCCACCTTCTTCCCCAAACTCAGCCTCCCCTCCCCCCTCACGTCTCCCTACCTGCCTCCCCCTCCTCTCCTGGCTGCAGCCTTCTCATCCCCTCGCCCCCCTCCCCCGTGGGAATGGCTGACCGAACGCCGCTCTTGCCCCTCTTGGGCATCTCTATGGTCGTACCAGTCACATGACACACACAGCGGGGAGAGGGGGCCACTGTGGCGCATGCGCAGTGCGGCGGACGGGTCGGGGCCGGGGCCATGTCGCGCAAGCAGGCGTTGCGGGCGCGGCCGGGCGGCGCGCTGGGCCTACGGCTGCGAGAGGTGCCAGGCGACGGGTGAGCGCCGGTGCCCCAACCCCCCCGAGGTGCCCCTCCCCCCTTCTGGGCAGTGCCACGCGCTGGCTCCTTGCCCCCACCTCAGTGTTGCCAGGTGTACAATAATTATTGCATGCGTACAATCATTTCAACTCTTGGAGGATGTAGGATGGGTAACAGCACAAAATGCAAAACCCAGGTCGCTCTCGGAGAGTCCGACCTGACGTTGGGGTTTGCTGCCAGCGCTGTGTGATGACGGTGGGCCTTGAAATAAAGATATGCTTTGATTTGGAGGACCCAGTTCTCACCCGGTTGAGACCGATAGAAAGTATGGGCAGTCCTCGACTTACGACGTTAAGAGTTACAACATTTTGCACGTACAATGTTTATAAATGGACATCCTGTTTCAACTTTCTGACATCGGTTTCAACTTACAACGCTTGATGCGATGTAACGCCACGCCAGCGAACAAGTCGCTCTCACCCATCTACCTACGAAAACATCTGTCCTAACTTTCTTGGACACTTTATTTAAGAAAGCAGACAAGAGTCCAAAAAAACCTGCAGCCGAGACTCCTGAGAAGACTCCAGCCGACAGCCCTTCAATAAGTCCAACCAAGAGTCCTTCAAAAAGTCCAGCAAAGTCACCTCAAAGAAGTCCTTCCAAGTCAATACGATTGCTATTTACGATATAAATACATCAGTGTAACTATGCTACTCATCCATAATTGATCGAGTACTAAATTTTTGGTTATTTTTAGTGAAAACGGGGTATCGGGCCTTGGTTCGGGAACCAATCCCCCATTTATAACATTGTTTCCTAGGGGAAAATCGGTTCCGAGTTACAGTGTTTCAACTTAAGACGCCATTTTCAGGAACCAGTTGGGTCGTAAGTCTGAGGACTGCCTGTAACGAAGAGGACTTGTTTACATATTTTTTCTGTGTATGTTTCAGCAAATGCAATAATTTTGAGCTTCAAGTATGATGATTTCATATTTAAGACCTAGCAACACTGCACAGCCTCCCTGTGCTGCCCAGCGGTGTGTGCGTCCCCACTGCAGCCGTGGGCCAGGGTGCAGCCTGCCTCTGCCCCTCCTGGGCACCCGAGTACTTGGTGCCAGGCCAGTGTTGCCAGGTCTTAAATATTAAATTATCAGACTGGGAGCTCAAAAATGATTCTTTGCTGAAAAAGTATTGTACCCTGAAAAAAAATGGTAATTAGTCTGCAGATAGGTTGTCTTCTTTACTGTCTATTGGCTGCTGTAAGACACCAGCGAGTGAGTGAGAACTAGGTCATCAAAGTTGAGGCATTTCTTTATTTTGAGGCCAGCCGTCCTAAGGAAGTGCTGGCAGCAAACCCCCAAGTTAGTTCAGACTCTGAGAGTGACTTGGGTTTTGCATATGCTGCACGAATGTGCTATCTCAAATTATCATACTTTTTGAACACTTATACTGTTGTTTGATTGTACAAGGGTTGAAATTATCATACAAATAGGGTAATTGTCATCCACCTGGCAACACTGTGCCAGTCCTTCCTGCTTCCTGCTCCTGTGCCCAGTGTCTCTGCAACGCACCTGCCCTGCCTGTAGCATGTGCCCTTGCTTGACTTGTGCTCCCCCTTCTCTTCCTGCATCCCTGCTGCTCCCCAGAGACATGCGTGAACGTTGAGGGAAGGATTTGCTGCCCCTCAAACTGCGCTGAAAAGAACACCCTCCTACTTGCATTTGAACAGGATGAAGGCAGAAGGGAGCCTGGGGCTTCAGGGAGTGCGGTCCCATCTCTGCCAGATGCCGAAGTGAACACGCCTTGCAGGAAACCTTGTGAGGGGTGACACATCCTGGATTTTCAGCGCTGATGTGATTGTGTCCCAGGCTCTGGTTTTAAACAGCCTGTGAACAGTTAGCATGTGAAATTATGTCCCAAGGTTGCCTGAATGCAGTAAGACCAAATGTGTTTATTGTGATGTGTGAATTGGACCAAATTGGGAAGGAATCTAACAAAGTAAGGAAGAGAGAGGGGATTAGCTAGGCTAGTTTGACATTAGGCAGAAGGCAGGACAGTGTGGTACCTCTTTGGATGGTTGTCATGCTACACTGCCCTGCCTTTGAAGTAAGGAAGATTGTAGCAGACTTGGTATTTCACATCTATTTCTGGTGTGTAAAAATATGAAGAGCCTTTGAATGCACTGGTTCATTTGATCCAGTATGGGTAGCCCTAGGTTGACTTTGAAGAGGTTATTAGTGAGCCATACTTTATTCCCTCTGATTATACTATAACATGATACCATTGCAGGGTAAACTGAAAGGTGAGGTGAATCTGTGTAGCAATGTAAAGGTGAACATGCTAGTTTCAGTAGTACTTGATAAATAGAGCTCTGTGTCAATGGAGTCAGAAAATCACTTGTCCGCCGGTAAGTAGGAAACTTTCCCTCTGTGAGCGTAAGACATGTGGGACCTACAACATGAGCTATAGCAATGTGATTAGTAGTCATACAAAGTGAAGGACTGGTAAGTTTAGTTCTGCTATTCAGAGCTAGGCTGGCAACTGAGGAGCTGGCAAGAATTGTGCTGGTTTCGGTCTGAGGTTGCAAATTGCTAAGCTGATTTAAAAGCAGGAAGAGACTAAATAAGTCCATGCATAGTGGAGGGCAGGAGAGCAGAGACCCCTCCGGAGTTATCAAGAAACTCTGGAATAGGGGTGGAAAGTATGTTCCTTCTTCCTTCCAGAAGATACTTGGGGGAGATGCCAGAAGATGCCCGAGAGGAGAAACAGCCTTCAGTTCTGCCAGATTTACTGACTAGAGACGAATATAGAAGAGGGGACCTCTGAACAGGGTCCTAAAACAGCACAGCTTTGGGAATCGGAGACGTTTTCTGTTCCAGCAGCTGGAGTAGAGGCTCTGATGGGTGCCCTCACCCTCCTGTTTTGTGTTGGCCTCTGGCTGTCAGGTGTCTGTCTAGCTTTTAATATCTGGTGTGTTCCCACCCATCATACTTGCTTTTTGCATTTTGAATAATACTGAATACATAGAAAGCTATTAAATATTCTAACTTTTGTAACATATACTAGAGCTAATACTACAGCTACCATTCTTATTTAAGACTGTATGATGTCTACAGACTGAATTGAGTTGAGAAAGTTCATATTCTTTTTTTAAAAGAGGAGTGAAGCATTCAGTCTCCTTGAATGTTCTAGAGAGACTGTCACAGTAATTACTTGCTTAAGGTGGGGCAGGTTGACTGACCTAATTCCTAGAAGAGATTAAGTCATATTAGAGAATTTCTAATCCATCCTAAGCAAAATTCCAGCTGTGAGCACCCTAGTCCCTCCCTGAAGCACTAATCAAACTGTTGAGCTGGAAGAGTAGGAGATGGGGGCTCTGAAGGGAGTTAGAAGAATGGCATTAACAAGCTTTTTGATGATGATCATTTAGGCTCTCGTTCATTGTTGCACCCTTGTTTTACTGGCATTTCCAAAGGGGCGGTGTCCAAATCCCATTCACTTTGGGGTGGTATTCTGGCCCATTACAAGGGAGTGTGGAGTGTGCAGATTTGCTTTTTGTCCGCCCATAGTTTTCTGTTTTATCAAAAGAAATGCAGTTTTTACTGCTGCTTGCAATTCAGTAGAGAGGCTTTGCATTGAGTGGAAATGAACTCATTCCCATATTGCTACATTTCTGAGGTGCAGGGAAGATTACACTGTAGTGGTTCTGTAGGTAAACTGAGGATGCTGGTATTAATCTGGTACTTTTCCTAGTGTTAAATGCACTTCAGACAGGCTAACTGGAAATCTTCTCTTTTGTAGCAATTGTTTGTTTCGAGCACTTGGTGACCAACTGGAGGGGCATTCCCGGAACCACCTCAAACACCGCCAGGAAACAGTGGATTACATGATAAAACAGCGGGAGGATTTTGAGCCTTTTGTGGAGGATGACGTTCCCTTTGAGAAGCACGGTACAGTCCTGGTGGGATACTAATAGAAGAGGCTATTTTTCTGGCCCAAACCTATATTAAGAGTCTCTCTCCATCCTTTAAATGTCGCTTGGTTATATCATGCCAGAGTTTTCTCCACCAACAAATTTTAGGGGAATAGTGGGATGCTAGAGAGCTGAGCATTTGGCTGACCTTGGAGTATATTCAAATTGAGGTCAAGTGTGGAGAAGCAAAAAGCTGGGATGGTTGAATGAAGCCTAAGTAAGCTTGGTGCCTAGCTCCCAGAACACGTCAGTAGGCATAGACTTCTGAACTCCCTTGGGTTCCTCTGAAATTTTCATCCTAAAATTCTCGGGTTTAGTATGGTATCAAAATTGAAAGGTTGATATTGGTTGCATTGAATAATGCTAACCACGGTTAAAAGAAAAACAGCCCTATATAGACTTGCTCTGAGAGTCCATAGAAACCACTGAGTAACATGATGGAGAGAAGACTGCTGTGTACTCAGACCTACAACTGAGCTGTTGACCATGCATGGTTTTAGGGGAAGCTGTTCTGCTAGAGATGGTGATCCAAGACCTCTTAATCTTTTATCGTGGCCAGTTTCTAATGGGTAACGGCATGCTTGCTTTCCGTTGTTTCTCAGGGTTGTTGCTCAGGTTGTGGTTTTCAGGTGTGTTTACGGATGGCAGTCAAGTGCCTAACCCCTTCTATATCTGTTCTCATCTTTTCCCTAGTCTCCAATTTGGCGAAGCCTGGCACTTTTGCTGGCAATGATGCAATTGTGGCATTTGCAAGGAACAATCAAATGAATGTAGTTATTCATCAGCTCAATGCTCCACTGTGGCAGGTAAGAATCAAAGCTCAGCTTTCCTAATTTGGCCTTGCTTTTTGCTGGGTAGTCTAGATAGCGTTAAAATTTACTGCTGTTTAATGCAAGGCAAGGATTTATGTGGGTGATACCTTTTGTTGGACTAACTGCATGTTGGGAGGTTTATAAACAAGTTTTTGGGTACCAAGCTGATATTTAGTGTATTTTTAAGAGGGAATCCTGGATCTTAGATATTAGTCTTAGCATAATTGTGAATGACTTCAGCATCCCACTCTTCCTTAATTATGTAAATGAGGTAAAGAACTTTAATTGGGGCAAAATAAAGTTTAAATGTATGAAATGTGAATATGCTGGAGCAGATCCTTCTCCCTCAAAGTGACACAACTTCCTTAAAGCTGGTTTATACCACTAGGTGTGAGATCTATGCATACTGGTAACTGCTTTCATATTAGACTGAGGTAAGTCTGGTGGAGGCTTTCAGTGCTGTTGAGTTTTAAGTGGGACAACAATGTAGAGAATGATGGGGATCTTGTTTGTGAAGCTTAATTAGTTCTTTATCAAATTCAGGAGAAAAAGCTAATTTCTAACCATCTGGGCAGTGAAATTTACTGTAAGTGCCTTCCAGCAGGGTTAGTAAAGGCAAAAATGCAAACTGATTTTAAGATGCAGTTTGATCAGTTTGAGACATGAAGAATATCATGGTCTGTGATAGCTTAGGACTGCATTTGGTGGCCTAGCAGGTCCCTACCGTTTGTGTGTTCCTACTGGAAAAGTAGTCACTTAGAAAGTCTTCTCTGTGTGTTCAGAGGTGCAGCAAGCGAGCAGGCTACTTCAGTCCAGGATGGTTCATCTGTTACGTCTCATTGGTTATAAAGAAGTTGCCTCACTTCACAGCCAGCACAATGAACTGCATAGGTTTGTTTTTGCTTTGACATCTATTTAGACGTCAAAGAAGAAACATGGTGAAGGTCTTAATGATTGTGTTAGCACAGGGGTGGGCAGAATGCAGCCTGGGGGCTGGATGCAGCCCCTCAGGCCATTCTATCAGGCCCGCGGGGCCCCTAAAAATTTAGAAAATTAATATTAATCTGCTCTGGGCTGCCTGTCATGGGGCACTTGATGGCTTGCCGAAACTCAGTAAGCGGCCCTGTGCCCAAAATAATTGCCCGCCCTTGCCTTAGCATACTCTAGTACGCTATTGCATAGACTTCAGAACCATAAAAGAACCAGGTTAACTGTCCCTCGTGGTAAAGAAAAGCTCTGTTCCATGTTAAATTTGACAATTGTGAAAACAAGTCAGTGGGAATAATGTTCAACTTCTTGACCCCACAGAGCATACAGAGGTAACTGCTCTGCAGGAGTTCGTGGAAATGTTACTTGCATTATTGTTTTGAACTGGATATTCAAGTTAATGTGCTCTTATCTGTACTTTGTGTGTCACCTCAGTAACCTCTAGCTGTTTCCCTTGCCCACTGACCTTTTCAGTGCCATAATTACAGGGCTTATGAGAGCCCAAGTTTTGCATGCCTGAATGTAATGTTGGTGAAAGGGATTAAGTTAATACCCCTAGTGACGGAAGTCCCTAATCACAAGGTGCATAAATCAGGGTGGGGGGAGCACAGTCCCACTTGCATCCATCATTATGCCCGAACCCTCCTCCAAAGGGGCTGCCTTTACAGATATTCACTTCCCTTGTCCTGCTTGAGTCTGAGGCTTTTAGCTCAGCTTAATACGTAATGCATTTGTCATCTGATCCAAAGTTTGTTAACATCAGTGAGTTCTGCCTATTGCTTTCCTTGGGTTTTGGATTGGCTTTCTTGGTTTACTTTAAAAAAAAAAAAAAAAAAAAAAGGCTTCTTGAGTTGCCTGTTGTACCTGTGGGGTTTAAGGGTTTGCTTTGTCTCCATCAGTGCTTTGGTCATTTTCCTTTGTTAATGAGAGCAAAATAAATCAGTCCATTTCCACATGAAAACTAGCATCTTAATTCCTTCTTTCTGGGTAAAATTGTCATGTGGTTGCTTTCTGCACATTGTTGTATGTCCCCTGCAGCAGACCTCTGATTTATAGCTCATGTAAGTTGCTGGAGAGCTCACATGGAGGCCTTGCTAAATTAGAATTAACACCACAAGGAAGGAAATCAGGCAAAATGGCAAAATCTGCAGGCCTGGGCTCCTATAATGGCAACCACCTGTCAGGTTGATGAAGTATAAAAACTAAATCGTGTTTCCATCCAACATACTGACTTCCATAAACGTGAAAGGAGAGTTAAATAGAAGTTGTTGACTTGAAACTTGAAGGTGAACAAGTTTAAAAAATTTAAATAAATGGAGAGAACCTGTATTTGAGATCTCAAATGATTAACAGGACAAATGTGTGCACAAGCAGTGGATATAGTTTAAAGGTGAGTGGTAAATATCTTTAGCTATAAAGACCTGGGTTCAAAGAGCTGGAAGGATTGGGAAACTGCAGAGCCTTAAACTGCACAAGAACCTCAAATCATTCTTTGTGCTGCTTTGGGTGATGGGGGTCATCTATAACTCAGGCCTCCATACTCTGAACTGCAAGTTGACAGATGAGTAAACGAGGCTTACAAAGACTCAGTTATGAAAACATCTGTGCAATTCTCTATATTTCATTGGAAGAGTGGAGATGTTAAGCAGTGTTTTATATGAATGTGTAAGTAATTTCATTTATCCAGCTACCCTGATAAAGGAGTTATCCTAGCATTTGTTCCATCAGTAAACACAGATGAGTCTTTGGGTAGACAGTTGCTAAACTTTGAACTGACATAGTAGATGAACACTGGGCTGTTAACAGCCCTCTGAAATGCAATGACTTGATTTCCACAATTGGCATTTGTCTGGGTTTGCAAATCTACAGTTAACTCCAGAAAATGTCATCTCTTGTTGCAAATTTTATGAATGCCATCCTGTCAAGCCTGTGAAAAAGATTTTTTTTTTAAAACAATTCTTGTCCAAAATAGTGAGGTCTTAACTGGCCACTCTTAACTAAATACTGCCTAACCATATTTTGTCATTTTTAAGGAAGAATGCCTCTTAGAAGAAATAGGAACTTTATTGTGATACTTTCTCTTTTCATTGAAAATTTGGGGTGGTTGCCAGGGAACTAAAGCACTCTTTGTGAGAAATTTTAGAAGATTAAAAATGTTGCAAGTGGTTTTAATGGAAATTAAAATAAATTTCCTGGCCAGTGGTACTTAAAGATTAAATCTACCAGCACTACACTTCTAAAGTCAGAAGAATTGAGCAGTTGATTTTGCTTCCCAGCACCACAGTTTGTATATTATGGGTGATATTATTTTTGGTATGTTTGGGGGATTTGTTAACATCACCTAATTTAACGGTGGTCATTAGCCACCTGAGAAGCTTCTCGGGGCAATGTTTGCATTGTTCTTATCCACTACTGGAAAGATCAAATGCTCTTCAAAATATGGAGCTAAAGTTGGTGCAACTTTTGTCCTCATTGAAAATATTTCTATCTTTCTCAGATCAGAGGCACAGATGAAAGCAATGTGAGGGAGCTTCACATTGCCTATCGGCATGGAGAACACTACGATAGCGTACGGAGAATCAATGACAACTCTGAAGCTCCGGCTAATCTTCAAACACAGGTTGGTGGTGACAGAATGACCTGTGAAGTCAGCTCTGGAATTTGAAGATGTGGGCATATGACTCTTCTCACCAAGTGTCTTGTTTTTAGCACTGGTAAAGAGAGACTATCTCTCCAGAGTTACAGTTTTACAGTTAAAGAGTTATAGTTGTCCACTCTAGCAGCCTGTTTCAACAGTGTTTTTAGTTTACTGAACTGTGATCCAAGATTCGCTGAATTCTAGTCCTGCTTCTGATTTGAGAGGATGTCCAAGTATCTCTGAGTAAGCCCCATGCCAGCCTACTGTGTGTGCACACCTGTATACATTGAAAATCAAGAGGGGGTCAATACAGGTAATAGTCTTACATTACAGACTGTTCTACCTGTCTTTATGAAAGGTTAGACTGAGCTGTGCAGGAATCAGTCTGCATGTAATTGTACAATGTGCAATGACGTTAATAGTTTCAGAGAATCTAGCTATTGCATATGTTTGTATGTGGTCCTGTAGCATTAATAAGAGTTATGGGAAACGGTGTAAAAGACAGTAAAAAATTATTCAGTTTCAAAGACCTATATTAAAAAAGGAGCTTTGAGGAAAAGGGCTGTGATTATAAGAGCTAAGGTCACTTTGCTACTGGCACTAGTTTCCTTTTGTCCATCTTAAAATGACTGTGTTTTCCTATGCTCTGGGGTCTTGTCTTGACCCATGCTGATCCATGTGCATTTTGCTTGTTATTGTAGATGCTTTGTAAAAATGAAACAAATAAGAAGGAGAAAATCGAGCCAAAGAAGGATGAATCTGAAGAGGAGGTGGAGGATGAAGTAGAGGATGCTATTCAAAAAGTTCGCAATGCAACTGGGTGTTCGGTCAGTATTTAGTATTTTGTGAGTAACATGCAAAATAGAGAGCACCCATTGTTACGTGAAGATTGACTTGAGAATGGCATTGGCTGACGCTCTTGAGCAGCTTTAGTGCCACAGCCACAGATCTGGATATACTTTCTAATACAGGTAGGCTAATTACAGGCAAAATGTGTCCCTTTTATGAGTGACTGGTCATTGTTTCTTTATTTATGTGTTCACTTTCCCATTTCCTAGAGGAGCCAGATTTTCAAATACTGCTGAGCTCCATTTTGTGAACTTGGGGCCCTTGTCAGAGATCTCAGAAAGACACCCAAAATCACTAGTTAGTTTGACAAACCTGGGCCATTGTTACTAAATGGCTGTATTTAGCAGCTGCACTGCTCCTGCTAATAATGCCTTGAAGCTGACTGAGAACAGGGCCCATTGTATTTAGTCCTGTACAGACATGGGTCAGGGACTGTCTGTTACTCTAAAGGGCTGTATATGTGCAGGCTTGACCTGGCTCACTGTACTGGTCTGCCATGATCTTTGGGTTTCCATGTCTCGGTGTAGCTCAAACTTTATTGGTGTTGTCTCCCATCTCACAGCAAACAAAAAGAATCTACAGGGATTCCAGAAACAAAACTAACTTCTGGTCAGAATGGTGTAGCTAATCGTACAAGTGTCCTCACTAACAGTGGTCCAGAATCTTTCCAATACATGTGTGTCTTTCTCTCTCTCTCTTGTGGATAGGATCTTCATTTAATAAGTCAGATTCTAGAAGTGGAGAACTACAATATTGATTCTGCAATATTTGCCATTCTCCAAGTGAATGAAGTGAAAAGAATCAGTAAGTAAGCAGATTTGTTACCTTTATCCTTTTGAAAAATGCCCCATAGACCACATTACAGACATTCCTTAAACATGAGACTCATAGCAGTAGCAGAACACGTTTTTCTCTTGGCTTTCCTATCAGTCTATGTAAGCCATGGCTCAGAAGGATAACCTCTCATAGGATGAGGGTGAACTTCCACTCCCAGTTATTTTTTGGTGACTCTGCTGACACTTTCAGTATGATGACAGTTGTGAAGCTGGTTTCAGTGACTGTTATGAACTGGAGTAAAACAAACAATTATTTTCAGAAAAAAACACTTAACACATGTTACTGCAACCAATCTGGGATGGATTTGTGGTGATAGTACTGAGTTTAAAAGGTTCAAGTTACCAATCCCTTGAGCCATTCAGCCTCTGAAATAAATGGATTTTCAATGCTTATTCACTCATCTCCTCACTGACCCTAATCCATCCTGAGCCTGCTGTTGGGGTGCTGGTCTCTCTTCTGCCACCTACGACTCTTCATATCTTTTTCACAAAGCTATTACAAGCACATTTGGGTAGAAATCAGGTTGAAACTATGAAGAGGCAAAAAGACCCATTGTGTGCAGGGTCCTTCTTTTTACTTTGCAGTGGGTTGTGCTTCATGGATGGGTTACTGACATTTTTACAAAGAAACCCTATATGTAATCATGGCTGACGGCCTACAATAAATCTGGTAACGCTTTGGCATGATCCACTCTTGCTTAGAGCATCTCTGACCGAAATCTCTTGTATCGGTAGATGCAGAGGAGCAGTGTGGTTCCCAGGCCAAAGGTCAGAAGCCGCGTAGCTCAGCCCTGTGGGAGGAGAATGGGAGTGGCAGTAGAATCTTTGGAAATCAGGGTTTACCTCCAGGTGGAACAGAAAACAACAAGGCACAGGTTAGACCTGTTGAAGAGACTCGAGCCAGCAAAAACCATTTCCCAAAGGTATGGAAAGTGTGTGGAAGAGTGCGGAGGTGGGGTGGGAAATGGGGGTGAGAGGTCACAGATCCCTTTGGGATGAGTGGAATACCAGCGTATGGGGGAATCCCTGGCTGAATGTTCATCTCTCAAACATTACTTAAAGTATTGCTGCAAGAAAGCAAGTTCCTGAATTTATTGCTAAGTAATGGGCATGTTAGAATAGCATGGCCTTTTTTCCCCCAAAGGGATAGATTTTATTTCTATGTAAAGGGCTTGGATCACAAGTTTTGAGACCACGGCATTGCACCAGTGGTTCTTTAGTATCAGCTTGTTTGCCTGTCTCTGATAAAGAAGACAGTACTTTCCCTTGACTGGTGAGCATGGCATGAAGGTCCTTTGAATTGTATTTATTGTTTGACTCTTTGCAGGTATCTAATAAACAAAGGAAGGAGCAGCAGCGGCTGGAGAAGAAGAGGCGACAAGAAGAAAGGCACCGTCAGAAAGCCTTGACTAACAAGAGTAACAATGCAAATAACAACCGGAATGAGACGGACTCAAACACGCAGGTCACCCTAGTGAAGGCCCTTGCGGCTGTGAATATTTAACTGTTACCGCGTTTAGGCCTCTTTGCAAATGGGAAACAGAATCGAGGAGGAGGAGTACTGACACTTGAGAGAAGGCCATACTCTTCAAAACAAATTTGTGGGCATCCACTCAGTATCTGCGTGCTAAGTCTTTTTTGGCTTTCTACAGCTGCAGGAAGAACAACTTGGGGACATTAGAGAACATTTGCCAGTGAGTGAGGAATGGTCAAAGCTTAGTGAAGTGAAAATGTGGAGGTGGTTCAGTGAACCTTGAGCTATCTCCCTATATACCTAGTATGAGATTTGCCTTCAAGCTTGGAAGAATACTTGTTTTAAATTACTGTAAAGGGGAGTGTTAACTGTTTTCAGCTGAGGAATACACTTTCCCATTCTTTCTCTCTCTTTCTCTCTCTCTCTGTCTCTCTCTCTCTCTCTCTATTTAAAGTGACTGGAACAAACTTCTGGAATCCTTTCCAAAACCGAAACTATCAGCCAAACACTATAGCAAAATATGTAAGATTTCTCATCCCCTATGCCCCACACCATAACTGAATGGCAAGTTGTAGTTTGGATAGAGCTGCTCTTGCTTTTGTTTCGCTAAGCCATTTGCTAAATATTACTGACTGTTTTAGAGGTGATTTGTACCTGGAGGCGAATTGGGCTGGCTGGATCTGTGATATTTTTGGCACAAAGTGAGTGTAGAAGAAATCTGTGGGCACCCTGATCTGCTAGCAATGAAGCCCCTCTTCTCTGACAATATTACTTACATAAAATGAGGGGGAGACCAGTGTACTCTTTGATTGCAGAGTTGATTTACCCAATCTAGTATAGTCTAATGAGGTAGTACTTGATGCAGCAGACATGAGATTTCTATTAAGTGCTAACAAAAATGTGCTGGTGTTTAGACATCTGGAATTTCATCCCCTGCCTCATGCATTGAGGGCTGGAGTCCAAATAGGGAACTTGACTGTCTTCAGTCTCCAAATTAAATTCTTTTAGCCAATGGCTCAGAAGTCCTGGGGACAAGCTTCCAAGTAGCACTGATTGCTGGGAAATTTGCCCAATTCACTCCTCATAAATCAAGCTTTTTCCAGGATAGGATTTTGTAGCTTAAATTCCTCTTAGATAAGATCACCGAACACCATGAACTATAATTGATCACTAGAGTCTGATCTTGTGGTATTTTCCTCTATATGAGTGGGAGTTTGGCCTAAAGTAAAGGTTGTGGGATTTGGTCCATGATACATGATGGCTTATAGTATCAAACATTAATCAAGTTCTTGGACTTGCATGAAGAACCAAGTTTAAAAAAAAAAGAGAGAGAGACTGAGAGAGGAGACACCCTATTACTCAAAGTAAAGCTTAACCAAACCTTCCAAGTGAAGGAGGATTCTTTCAGGGTGAGCATATGTGCCTTAAAGAGCCCATATCAGTACTGGGATTGTGTGGACTTAATACTTTAAAAATGACCCTTTTGACTGAACTGCCAAGACCTGAGTTAGCAGTTCTTGGTTTCCTCTGCTGCTGTGTAGTATTTGAAACAATCAAAGAAATGGGCCTGGCCTATAAGTATGAGCAATATTGAGTAAACCTGGAGAAAAACAAAATAGCCCTGTGGGCTTGGAAGCTAAAATGCCTTTGGGTTCCTCTCTAAAGAGCTGGCAGTAGTGTATACAATAGCAAACAGCCCAGCTGCTCAGAGATGCATCGGTGACATGTCAAAAAGTCCATTATTTTCAAATCAGTCTTAAATGCTAGTGCCAGCCATCATAAAAATTTCCGTTGGCGAGAAACCTGTGAGCAGTATTTGTTAGCTGTAAACAATATGAATAGACCCTGAATTCACAGTACCATTGAAGTATAACAAGGTTTGTACAAAGCTTTTGATGGGTTATAGCAGGAAATTGGGTCTGCTGAGTGGATCTTTTCTCATGGATCCTGATTTTGGGAGTAGAGGAACAGGTATTAAAATATATGGGGAACAAAACCTCATTGGATTTGGTCTGTCTTGGATGGTGCACTTTTAAAATTGTGAAAACATGAATAATGGTGCTCCTATAATTCTAGCTGAATGGACCGGTTGTTGCATAAAGAGAGGGTGCTATGTTTAGGACTCTGGGGCTTTGCTTTTTCCTGACCCGTCCAAAGATTAGAAGTCATTGTTTACTTGTCTACAGGCTTCACAAACTCCAGAAGTGGTTATGAATATCCATCAGCATTGTGCCTGGATGTACTACTTTCCTATCCTAATGCCTAGTGAGTTGGATGCTCAGAGGTTGGGGAAAGCTTGTAGCTAAGTGCATGTCACCAGTGTTGTGACATTGACATAAGTACAATGAAGAAAATAGCTTAGCAAGATGCTACTTCCAGTTGCGTAGTAGGGGGTAGTACCAGTTAGCTTTGTGCCACCCTGTTTTCATATTGAGATGGGAAACTGGTCCTGTAAATGACTAGATAAATAATATAGGCCTAAGCAACAGTGCTAGTTTGCTTGTTGGCCAGTTAGGAATTGGATGTTTGGGCATCGTCTATGAATCACATTGCTTTTCTTGAGCATCTTCTATGAATCACATTGCTTTTCTTGAGCCAAAGCTGATAAAAGGATTATCTGTTCCACCAGTTTGGGGGGGTTTGTGGAGAGAATTGTGCTCAAAGGAGATATATTCACAGGGTGACAAAGTTCCTATCATAAACACACAAGTTGCTTTCACAACCAATTCTGCAAAACCCAGCTCTGTTCTGGAAGGCACTGCCTTCTGTGTAGTGGTGTCAGGTCTTTGCTAGAGGTGGAGAGAGAATCACACCTTCATTTGCTTAGTTAGGGTACCTGAAACTGAATATGCAATTGAAAATGCTCTAATCTGACGTGTAAATGGATTAAACAAGCTCTTACTGTACTGGGCTGATATTCCTGTTAGAGTAGCCACATTCGCTCCTTGAGTCCATGCCAAGGAAAACAGCCTTGCCCTATGTGAGAGACACACAGCTTTGTGCTGGCTGTGGTTCAGGCTCTTTGTCTGCCTGACCTTTCTGATCTGTATCTTTTTCGGGGGATCCCTGTGCATAGTTTCTCTGGGAACTCCTTTTCATGAATGGAAATTTGGGATGATAAACTATGTTCTCTTATTATGGTGCTTGAGTTTCAGTTCCCAGGTAGGCACTAGATACCACCTCCATCCTGAATAGCCTGCTGCTTGGGCATCTTCGGGTTTGTCAAGGTGGCTACCTTGTATAAAATTCAATAAGACTTGATCCTAGCTGGGGGCTAGATAGTTCAAGAATTTGTGATGGCATACAGAGACTTTCATTTCTAAGGCTTTGAATGCAGGGCCAGTTTTATCAAGCAGGTGGCTCCTTAGTGGCAGACTGGAAGGAGTAGGTTTGGAAGCCTGCTTGGCAGGTAAGATTGCTGCTGGCACTTGAAAGCTAGAGGCTGAGTGGTTATCCTTGGGCCCTGATGTTCTCCTTCCCAAACTATTAGAAGCTCATGCTATTTGTGCTATTCCTGTTTTTATGTACAGAAACGCTTCAGTGGTGGAGGTCTGCATAACTCCCTGCATCAGTGGAGCTGCTGCCTAACTTTGCCGGTTGAGAATCTGTTCCATTTTCTCCAGTGCAACACCCATCTAAATAGAAAATATCTCTGAAGCCATGAGTTCATTGAAAGTAAAGCACCTTGGTCACATTCTGACAAGTTAGGGGAGTTGCAGAGATGCAACTAAACTCTTCAGGGTTTGCTGTGTGAAGGAAGGTGCTCCCCCTATTTCTTGCACTGCCTATTCTTGTGTCTCTGACAATACCGTAATTCTTTGCAGAGGACAGTCCATTCATCTCTTGACTTCTCAACAGCCTTACCTCATCTGCAGTGCCTGACTATCAGAAATTTCATGTGATCTATAATGTTTGCATCCATAGCAGTGCTCCAGATGCATGTCATTTTCCCCTTGGATAAGCTGAATGACAATTTTTCTCTTCCTTCCCAGCTCAGAGCACTCTGCAGGGATCATGCCTCAATCATCAAACCAAATGCCAAATACCTGTTTTGTTTTTAAATACTTAGTGCAATAGAAGCTGCAAAGATGTGCCATTTGAATGAGAACAGAGTTTTGTATGTTGGACAGACTACAGATTAAACTTTGATTATTTTACTCAGAGACTTGCCTCATTCATTTTGTTGATTTGAGTGACATGGGTGTGTTGGTGACTGCAACCTGAATCTCTCTCCATTATTAACGTCCCTACTGCAGCTCCCAATTCCCTCACAGTCTTCACTGTCTCAAAGCAACACTCCTGTGAGGTTAGGGAAATGCTAGATTCCCTGTTTTAGATATGAAGGGACTGAGGCCTGAAGAGATGAAGACCTGGATTTAGGGGCAGAACTTGGGCACCTAAGCCCTAAATTTAGGTACTGTAGTTGGATCTCCCGCTCAGTTGCTGCCTAACATTGGCGGCATTTGAAATCTTTGTAAACGCCTAATTGTTCAACATTTGAAGTTCCCCAGCTGCCTAAACTTCTGCTGCTCAGCATGTCCAGCAGTGTTTCAGACTTAACAGCAGCTCAGTGCCTGTTTAAAGGTTGCAGGTTCAATCCCTGTAAACTAGTAGTTCATCCTGCTATCTTGCCTGAGTGGACCAACTCTGTGGACCAACTCTGATAAGCAATCTTGGGGCATGTTTATTAGGTCAGGCTCCCTGCGACATGAAGGAGCACTGTAAGCGGAGGTGACAGTACTCCTTTTTTCTCCAGTAGCTGAAACATTGCTACAGAACGTGGAAATTTTGGGTTTAATTCTCTTGTATGCCTGAGGGAGGGAACAAGAATAAGCATGCATGCCTCCAGGTTGCAGGTTAAGGCGCTCACGTGGTGTTTCCATCCCAGAGCCAAGGACTGTAGTTCCTTGCTCCCAGGTGAATACCTCTGAGCAGTATTAGAAATGGAAAGCTTAGTCTAAGTCTATCCCCACCATGCAGTTGGTCCAATAAAAGGTAACACCCACAAAAATCCTTGCCTCTTAACACTAATCCCTTTTCAAACTGTTCTGTATGGGAAATGACAAGCCTTGTAAGTGAATCCCAGTGTTTCTTTTGTAGTTGCACCTAGCCCTACCCCTCCCAACAAGCTGTTGAACACAAAGGAAATGGAACGATATGTCTCTCGCCTGTTGTCTTTTTGAGTCGCATGTTTAAATACACTTTTTATTGGCCCTTTTGAACCAAACGAGGGAGTGACATAGATGAGGGAGTCTACCAGTGTTGTTCTGCATCAAAGTTCATATCCTGTATTGGCGATGTCAACAATAATGTCATGCTCAAAGAAGGTAGAGCACCCAAAAGCTTATCCAACAGCTCTCCCAACTACTGCAAAAAGCTTTGCCCTTCATGGCTCAAAAAAGAAAATCATGAGGCTTAATATATCTTTTTAGTTCTTGGCATTTTGCCCTCCTGTTTATTGTTAGGAAGGCACTCAAATCATGTATGCAAGGGGTTTTTTTGTGTTAGAACCAAGGTAGAAAATCATTATCTTTTTAACTGCAAGAGCTGGAGCTTAAGAAAAATACTGCCAGATCTGTCTCGCAACAGCAGAAAGTGGATGCTGGAAGGGAGAGTGAAGTGCATGTGACCAGGGTTTTTTCCACTGCCCCTCTCTCATTTGCAGCCTCCAGCATTTAAGGTTTAGGAAGTTCTGACTCAGAGGCTGCATCCCTAACTCCTGTGCTTAATAGGTACTACTGAGGCCCTTTTCCTCCACTTGTCAAACACTAGAGGGCAGTTCAGGATTACTCTGCTCTAGCAACAACATTGTCTGTTCTTCCCCTCCTGAATAAAATTGTTTTGCAGCCCTGCCTAAGTGGAAACCTAAATAATGACAAGATAACCAGAGTGGTCCCTGTCCCTAAATGACAACAGGAAGGGAAAACCCTTCATTGGTGCTAGCAGGGTCATCTGGAATAATTGCTAACGGGTTTGTTTGGAAGAGTTAGTAAATGTTGCATTCAGCCAAGAGGAAGATTGGTTTGCAGCCCTTCTTTTCGCTGCTTAAAGGAAAGGCACAGTCCCATTACCACTACCATGAAATGGGAAGTGCCTATATTTCAACCAAAGTGCTTGTAGCTTCACAGCCATTTATGTGACATAGAAATGAGCAAAGCCACCTCTACTCCATGTGAATGGGGCTCTGCTAAATGGCCTTGCTAGTGCAAAGCATCCCCACTGCATGGTTTAGTGCCCCACAGGCAGCTTTGCAGCGCTTGCTGTCCTGTTCTAGCACCCATGGGCTGCTCACCTCTGTGAGATGCTCATGAGGCAACTTGGCCTCAGCAGAGACAGAGCCAGGGATTTTGGCATCCTGGGAGGCGCTTCCAACCACTGTCCTTGCCTGCGGAGTGCTGCTCAGTGTAAATCGGAGCGAGCCAGGGGCCTGTGCCTCTGTGCTGCTGCTGCTTCGTATGCTATTTTAAGATTACAACATTCATAGATTAATATCTAAATTTGATAACCATTCGACTGGTTCAGGGGTAGCTGCATGGATTGATGATCAACCTGCTGCAGAAATACTTTGTCAGTGACCCTACAGTCCCCCAGCCAGGATTTGACCTACCGAAAAAGATTTGGTCCTCCCTGAATTGTATCCGGATGCTTCATGGAAAATGTGGACACCTACTGGTACTCCCTAAATGGAGAGTCCGGGTTGCGATTATGGTGTGATTTTTTCAGGCGGTGCAACCCATTGTGAATGATTGCCCAATTAGATCATTTAATGGTGATCAATCCATTCCTTCATGCTGCTGGCAACAAATCCAAGTCCTCCTGCCTGCCTTCCTGGCCTCGGCGCCATCACTTCCAAAAAGTGTCTTTTCTATTGCTGCTTTTCTACAGTCCGCTCTGTGCTTTGCCCTGTGGAAGGGGCAGAGTAACCACCTCTCCCATGTGTGTGTCATCTCCTGCTCATATTTCCCCAACGTGCTGGTTCTTTGACCAGTCCTGTATGAAAAACTGCTCCTCTTTTGCCTTTCAGAGATCAAAGGAATCCATGCGGCTATGGAGAACCTGCCAAGTCTTCTCAAGCACTGCTCTTTCCGAGGTGGTTTCACACCAGCCATGCTCACGGCTTCTGCTAACCCAAAGGGCCTCTCAGGAGCTCTCTCGAACACCTGCAGAGGGGTCGCTGCTGTTCATCCTGATCCATGTAACACCGAGATTGCATCAGATCCATGAGGTGAAAACAGGTTTATTATTCAGAAGGGATTAACTTGCCAGTGTTTTGAGGCATGACTACAAAGGCCCAGTGTCTTCTAAGCTTATACTTATTATTGACATCCCTGTAGTGCTTAGACGCTGGGCCATGTTCCCTCTCCTGGTCAAACAGAGCAGAAGACAATCTCTGCCCTGCAGAGTTCACAGGCTGAACGGACAGACACCAGAAGCAGCGCTTGGATCTCTTCAATCCTAGTTTTGTGCCCTTTCACCGCTGGGCTGATCCTTCTGCCCTGTCTGACATAGTGGAGAGTTTAGATCCCCTTTAGTTAAGCTGTAAGCACACCCAAAACTTTGTGTAACTATTGGCATTGTGGGAAGTCGATATAAAATGCTGCTAAATCCAAGTAGTAGCATTTTAGAGGCACTTGACACCGACGGGACCTCTAGTGTTGTCACGCCTAGTTTTCTGTTACCACAGGCAACTATGCCGCATCATAACTTCCTTATATATTTACCAAGCTCCATTTCATCTAGGTGCACCGTGCTTACAAGACCCTGCAGATGGTTCCCTGTCTCACCCAAGATTTAGGGGGCCTTGGACTTGAGGGGACTTCCTGGGTCACTGAGTCCAATCACCTGCTCTTGTAGGCAACAACACTGTGTAGTCCCCCTCATATACTGCCTGAGCTTGGTCTTATCTGTTGTGCTCTACTACTACTATTTAAAGGCAGTTCCAGAACTTTACTCCTCTGATAGATAGAAACCATCTTATTTCCAGCCTAAATGTATTTGTGGGCAGTCTATTCACATTTCCTCTCATGCCAGCATTGTCCTTTAGTGTCTGCAGCTCCACACAGACTATCTCCCAACCTCTCTGGAAACTATCAACCTGATCTGGAAACTACAACCTGATCTATAACACGCTGACTTGCTGCTAATAAAGGGCTGTAATACTGCTGTTCTGTTAGGTTATTAAGCAACTAGCAAATAGCATCTTCACAATATGCCTTAGCGGTTTGTGTTGACGTTCAGCATTGTGAACCTAGGAGGTGAGACTTTGTATTCAAATCAGCAATGCAAATCTTCCGTAAGTCTATATGCAGAGGTTACACAAACAAGAGGGGAGGGATTAGGTTAGCCATGCAATCACCTGGTTACTAAAGGACTCTCCCAGGCTTCATGCTATGTTGATAAATAGTTGCGTTTCCACTAGATTTATATTCCTAGTTTTGCTTGCCTTGTTCTCATCAGATAAGCATTACTAATAGCAGCGTGTGCATACGATGCTGGGGAGATGGGGAGCAGAGTGCCAGTAATGATTTCTGGTCTGATTCTGCGCCTTTTTGAAGTCAGGTGGAGCTTTGACATTGATTTCAGTAGGTTCATGGCATTTGCAAGCATCATGCTTTTAAAAGTGGTGTAGCTCAATCAGGTTAGTGTCAGAACAGGAAACTGGGTGAGACAACTTAGGGGATAGGTCTATGTACCACTTGTGAATTCGGGTCGATATCAAGTTGTTATAGTGAAATGATTGTGAAAGTGTTGGACTGTATACTGCCCCTGTGGATGTGGCATTAATTCTTTGCTATGAGGACTGTTTCATCAGCTGTTTGCTAAGCCATAGTGGTTGCCTTGTGAGCACTGTACCGAGTTTGCTGAGCTGGGAGCAGCTAGTTCTTTCAACTTCTCTGCAGGAAGTGGAGAGCAGAAAATCCTCTTCCAGTAGGGCTCCTGCTTACCTGCCGGACCAGCCAAGGTCAGAGCAAGTTGTCTTGAAGAGAGACAAGGGACTCTGTCTTATTAGATTTGAGAGTTATTGTTGCTTTACCATCTTAACCTAAGGACCCTTAAATATCACCTTCCAAGTGACTAACCAATGCTGACTTGTTTTTGAAAAGGCTCACTGTGTTGCTGCTAATGCATCCTGGTGGCACTGCTCCCTACTTAGTGACCTTAACTTCACCCTCTCCCTTGGGAGACAGTGAGTCTGAAGTCACGTGGACCTCTTGGAGAGCTGAGGATGAGACACAGAGAGGTGAAGCCAGAGCGCCCAGTTTTGGAGAACGGTCTGGTCAGGCTAGGCCACAATACTATACGATAAAACCAGCCAATGCAATTATAATAGGCTAAAGTGTGTCCAGATGGGCATGAAGGGAGGTTCCCAACCATACTAAGCTAACTCAGCTGAGCTTATTGGATTGTACAGCCCTTTTCTCATGATGTAGGTGGAAAGATTCCTCCAGAACATGGTTAATCTCCTCAGCCCATTCTTATGCCCAATCATTGTACTTGGGGCTCAATCTGTCAAGATCAGTCAAGCTGTTTTCTTCAGTTCACTTTGGATCAGAGCCCTGAAACAACCTGATAGTCCACTTCTGCATGGACTTTTCTCACTTTATAGTGGCAAGCTCACAGACCTACCCACAGTTTCTATGAATAATCTTTCCCAGATGGTCTGAAATTAGAGTTGGCACGGAAAGCAAACCTCCTTTCAAACATACAACCAGACGGGTTGGATGTCCTCCCTTTGGGAAAGGGGGACACTTTGTTCAGTAAGGTAAGAAAGGACAAAAGCTTGAAATCACATGAAAGTTTGCTTCCAATAATTCACCAGCAGTTAAGCGACAAGGTGTGGGACGTTCATGCCCATTCGAATGTTGATTGTCAGCAACTGAAAGTTTTGTGGTTACTGTTTAGAAGCTGTTCTAATAGTAGGAACAGGTTATGCCTGTGGTTACAAGTTCAATACCCATTCTGGAAAGTCCAGTCCCCTTCATTGGGCCGTGGGTCAGAACAATAGAGAGGAAAGCCAGTGGGGGGGGGTCTTAGCAAGAGGGAGTTTCTCCCTTGCATATAAAATCTGGGTAATGGTTATATTTTGTGTTGTAGGTCTTGGCAGCCTTTTGGAAACACGCTGCAGGAGTTTTGTCACACTCACAGATCATCTTCTCACAGCTTTTCCAGGCTGAAAAGTAAAACAGCAGGGAGTCAAGAGAGCAGTATAGGAGAGCCAAGAGGAAATCGAATCAGATATGTCCAGTCTCTCCATAGGCTCCAGTGGATTATGGATCACCCCTGGCCTGCCAGTGGAAGTGGTAGTTGATGGAAGTGGCCATGATGATCTCTTGGGGTGCCAACAGGAGGGATCACAAACCCACAGCTAGTCCCAGGGCTTCTGCAGGTGACTTCTTCTCTGCTACTGTTGAGAAGACTGGAGTGAGAGAGGTGCTCTTCTCTGCACTAGCTGAGATCAATGCAAGAGCTCAAACCAGGTATGCAGAGCCTAGGTCTCATACCGCCTCCCTGCAGAGAGGAAATTTTCACTTTGAGCGCACTATCCGAGCCAGTGTAAGCATGGGCCTGTCATTTAGATTCTTTTTGCTGCCCTGGACTGCTGTGTATGCAGCACCATCCAAATGGCCTAGGTGAACCCTAGACAAAAGAAGCTGAGCATCAAGCCAGAGATCACCATGCTGCACAGCAAGGTAGATCCCACTTGTTAATAAGCGTTCCTGCTGGACAGCTTTAGAGTCATGCTAGAAGCATTTCCTGGAGCACCACCAAGGCATTCTGTCCTGAGGTCTGGGGAAAATTCAGCTCAGTGCGCTGAGCCAGCTTATGTCCCATTAAGTTTTTAAAACTACATGTGCATGGTGTGTGGTCCTTTATCTGGTCTCCTGGGATCCGTTTCACCCTGTGGAAGTCTGGTTTCTCTTTAACCTTCAGCCTAAAATCACAGTCAGGGCTTGAGCTGCCAGTGTCCTGTATCCGGCGCCATCTGGTTATTAACCAGTGAGTTAACATTTTCCAGCATGCTGGTTCAAGAGATGTCCAAGAAAATCCCACACATGGTCTCTGTAGATGGTGATGCCATTCAGTTAGTGACCTTAACGTCACACTCTTACTTACTGCAGGTGATGTCCTCCTTGATGGAATAAAAATAGATGTCCAGTTTTAGATTACAGCCAATCTTAGAGGCCTTTGTATAGCAGCAGTCATGGGCATGGCAGCACCTTATGTGAAAAAAGCTGGCATTAGTGCAGTGCTGAGTGGTGGCAGGGAGGATTAGTATCATCTGCTATTCTTTTTCCCTCTTCTACTTCCTGACTGAAATCAGAACCTCTCTGTGCTCGGAGCTGTACACGTGGGACCAGATCCTATTCCAACTATTAAACACCTAAACTAATCCTCTTCCACCTTCCTTGAGTCCCTGAAAACCATTAATTTATCAAGGTCACAAAAAGCAGCGAAGAGGAGAAGTAACCAACCTTCATTTGCTTTAGCAGTTGCTCAGAAGCTTGAGTAGGATGAAAGGAGATTGCAGTTAGATGCTTAAGTCCATGGAGGCACCTAAAAGGACTAGATTATGCCCCAATGACCTTTCAGACCAGAGGACATCTTCCTTGCTGAATAGTCTAGTGATTTCCAATCACGACTAGTAGTGAGACTGCAGTTCCTACACCCCATTACCATTCTTGTTCTACAGAACTATAGAAAAGGGAGCAATTAGATATGACTCGCTATTCGATTTACAATCAGGGTGAACTTGTGATTGATTTCCTTTTTCTGGGAGTTAAGCTAATATTGAGTGGTTGATTAAATAGCCCAAGTGCTATGTGCATTCCTATGCATAGAATATACGTTGTATAACAATGGGGAATTAAATACCATGACTTCAAATCTGTTGATAGAGCAGCATTATAATTAGGCAGAGGTCATTAGAGTGTGAGTTATGGGTACCAGACTATTTTAAAAGAAACAGTGTAATGCTGCTTTGTGAGCACCTGACAATTTTCATTTAAGGATTTCAAAGCTCCTTATGTCAGCATTAGCCTTATTTTACCCATGGAGAATTCATTGTATAGAGAGATTGTTTCTCAGTGGGAGATGCAGCTGTCTTGACTCCAGTTCTCTGCTCCAACCACTTGTCCAGGCTGCCTCCCCCAAGGGTCTTGCTCAGGGTTTGAGACAAGGACAGTGTGGGCTCTGATGAACAGTGGTAGCAATTGTCCCTGCTTCCCAGTCAATCTCATCTAGGGGTTGTTTGGTTCCTCCGAGGCCACTGTAGCATCCATAATAGAGATGAGAGAGTGGAGAATTTCCCAGTGCTTTTCCTATGAGGTCTGCAAACTGGATCAGGTTACTGCATGCAAGTGGGAGGACTGCAGTCAGAGAGCCAGGGATTGTTAAGCAGTCTGGAAAGGACGCAGTCCTGCCTCTCTGATCAGGCTGGAGGCAGAGACCGAACAACCTACCGGTGCTCTAATCATAGACCTCACCCATACGTCCCCCCCTGCCCTTGCTATCTACAAGTCAAGTGCTGATGCCCTCAGGTCAGGAGGGCACTAATGTTCTCAACATTTGATGTTCTCAACGTCATTAAGGGATTCAGTTAAAATAATGTTCTGACTTCATGATGCCAAAGGTGTGAGACCACCGTTACACTGTGGTCTGTCCATAGGCTTGTTTGGATGCAGTATATTCTCCAAATAGAATATAAATAAGAAAGATAAAGAGCCAGAGGGAGGCAAGGTAACTAGATGGAGGTCAAGTCACACGGTAGATAAGTCACAGAGCTCAGCTCTCCTGAATCTCACCTGAGTGCCCCATCACAGCTGCTAGCAATTCATTATTTTTAAATGATGGGATTTTCTAGGCAGCGTTAGGCTTTTATAGAAGAATCTGGAGAGTTAAAACCAAGCTGCCGGCTCGCACGTTTCCTTGCAGCATAAGGAAAGTAAAGTAACGGCATATGGCCCCTTCATTTTGGTTGCTTCGTGTCTAACAACAGACAGCTCTAACATGAAGGAGACCCCAGCACGTTAGGTGCATTAACCCTCCCTATTTTGCTTATATACACACACATTACAGCTTCACCTCCCCTTATTACATGCAAAAGGATATACAAATATTTACAAGTCTCAAACAAGCGTGATTATTATATAGTGATACCCCTGGGGGTAATCTATTCCTCTTGCTACAGGCATTTAAGCCTGGATTTTTAGAGGAATTGGTAGCTTAACTCCCACGGACATCCACCCCAGTGTGGGGGGGAGTATAAATAAGGCTAAAAAATCCTTGTTATGAAGTGGAGAATTGTGTGGAAGTTGAGCTTTTTCCTTATTTTGAGACTCAAAAGTGGGCCCGTTTTCCCAGAAAATTTTGTAAAGTATAAAGCGAAAAGGGTGCGTTTTCCAGGGTCAACGTTTGAATTTATGAATCAAAAAGAGTTTCCATGAGCCAGGGTTTCACGCGTTCATGTCCAAGCTTTACCTGCAAAATATACAAGTGCTTGAGCCCAAGAAAGCAAGAGAAAGCCTGCAGTGATGTGTGGGGAATAGGTACAGGCACCTTCAGCTGGCAGCTGTGTGCACTCTTTAAGCCTCCTTGAGGTTCTCACTATTACACACAGCTGGGTCTCTTTGCTGTTGCCAAAGTTGCTGCAGGTGGGAATGCAGCAATTTGAGAGGAAACAGGAGCTTTTTTTTTGTCCCTGAAACAGTTCATCTGCTGGTTTGGTGGAAAATGTTAAGCAGTATCTCTCTTTTGGTATGTCTCCACTTGCCCAAGTTGAAAACTGAGCCTATGCGAATAGTCAGGCCTCAGCTTTCTGTACCTGGGACAGCAAAGTGGGCCAGAGCAACAAACCACAGCAAAGGGCGGATGCTAACTACAGAAATCAGCCCACCCTTTGCTGTCTATTCCAGGGGTCTCTGTTCCAGTGACCCCTGACAGTGTGGGTAACCAAAAGTAGGAGGGGGGTCTCTAGACACTATACAAATTGTTGGGGTTTTTTTGGTATTTCAGCAGCAACTCAATCAGCTCAGGCTCCCGTGGTGCTGGGTTCTGCACAGACATGGGACAGAGTGGGAAAAAATTCAGCTCAACTGGCCACGCTGGAGTGCACGAAGAGGGGTCCAGCTCCCTTTTATTTAGAAGTAAAATAAAGGACACAGAATGATAAGCAAAGCACATGGAAATCAAGCTGTAGTCAGTACAGGAAACAGTGGAGAGCTTCCTTCATCACTCCTACGAGACTGCTACTTATCCAAACAGTCCCTAGTCACCATCTTAATACTACTTTTAGCACCCTTTGGAGCAAAGCTGAGGTCAGAGCTGTGTTGTGCAAGATGCTGTACTAATGCAGCACTCCAAGAGACAGTGCCATGCCTTCTAAATACTCAAGCAGACAACGGGTAGGGAAAAGGGAGGATTATTTTCTCCCCATTTTACAGGTGGGTAAACTGAGCAACTAGCTACCTCGCCCAAGATCATATAGGAAGTCATGAACAGAGCCAGGAATAGAACCCAGTCCCGTACCTCCAACATATTCCCTCTCACTGTATGAGCCATTGTCCAGAAATCATTCTGTTTTGGTCCAGTGTATGCTAATCAGACAGTGAAGGTCAATCCAGTTCATTATTCATAAGCAGTTCTGCAGACTTTTTCCCTA